TAGAGTCTTTGACGATGTCAATCATTCATGACATCATCCTGGCTGATCCTGTGATCGGCCATGCTGATGTGATCTGTTAATCAGCCTTAATTGATTTCCATAATTATCAGATTAATTTAGGCATAATTATGCTGCATCATCTATGGCGATGTTTAGATCGTCCTTATCGATATCCTAAAATAAATAATTTTTAAATTGATCATGGCGATTGATTATTTCTTAATTCCTGCCTGATATAACGATCGTCCAAGCCTATTGGCTTAATGACGGCTGCCTTAATGAGGATGATGCCCTAATTAGGATTTTTGTTTTTGAACTGATCATCCCGGTTGATATAAATATCATCCCGAACGATGTTACCAAAAATAGTAAACTCTAGGGAACAGTAAAAAATTCTTCCAAGGTGTGTATGAGCAAGTTTACAAAGCATCAGAAGCCACACCAATTACAAAGACTCAAGAAAGGAAAAAAAGTGTACAAAGTGACTTAGACCAAGTATACCCTATCTTGAGCTGGTTCAAATTGCAGTCTTATCTTGTGGACCTGAAATATCTGTAGGCAATGTAGTCTTAGAGAAATAAGAGTGTTTTCTATCATCAAAATCATAATCCATGAATTCAGAACCGTAATATGGATAACTCACAAACCTTGGAGATGATCGGGTTCGTAGTTTTTCTTGGTTATCTATTTTCCTTTATTTTCTCATCCCTTACCCAACCGTCATCCTAGCCAAACCTCATTCCAAGTCACTGACCACCTTCAACCCCACCATCCTTCCATCAAAAACACCCCAAGTCACGTCCACTAAGCCGCCGTCTCCCTTACCCGAACATCAAGCAAGCTGCCAGCCCCTAGCCCCTTACCCTCTCTTGGATTTATTTCTTATTCTAGATTGCCATAATTTTGGATAGATTTTGAATTCAAATTCACTCAATTTGAAATTTAAAATCTTCCCTAAAATTATAAAATCTATTTTATGAAAGTTTCCTAAATTAAACTCCATTTAAATTTCAAGTTAATTATAATTCCTTTATCGCTTTCCTTATTTGAGCCAACATATTTTTGGAAAGCATTTGAATTAAAAATAAATCAATTTTAGATTTCAAATATTTTCATTTTTTCTCTTAATCCTATTTTACGAAAGGTTCTTATTTAATTCAATCAATCAAATCATGATGGATTGATTAATTAAAGCCTTAACTCCAAATTTCAAATCTTTCCTTTTCTCTTTATCCTATTTTGGGAAAGGTTCCTATTTAATTCAATAAATTAAATCATGACGGATTGATTAATTAAATCCTTAACTCTAAATACATTACACCAAAACACTTGGCCCCCTCTCTTTCTCTCTTGGCTGAAATTCCCTAGGGCCAACCCAATTAATTCCCTTCGCAAAATTACACCTCTTTTATTGGAATTAAATCTAATTTCAGCCTAGCTTTACCCGCCCCATCTCTTCCCCCTTTAGGTTATTCAAATTCTTGCCAAATCAATGGTCATTTTTTTGGAAAGATATTTAAGCCCTCCCACTTAATTCTTCCCCTCTAAACATTAAACCTAATCATGAAATTCTGAACAAAATTCTTCTCCAAGTTTCTTCCATTGTCCGACCACCTCCCATCCTTCCCTCCACTTGATTTCTTGAGAGAAACTTCTTTCTTTCAAGGGGATTCTTCAAGGTGAGCCAATGATAATTGTTTTCAACACTTCAACGCATGGGAAAAATTTCTTCCTCTCCAATTGAACCCTTAAAGGAAGCTATGAAGAATGACCTCATCCTCTTAGTGACTTGTTTCAAGATTTTGAAAATGGTGAACATTCTTCCCCTTTTAAATTAACTCCCAATCCCCTCTCCTTGTAGGTGATGATGATTCTCGAGGAGTCGAGCTTCACCTTTGCATATTCTTGTAAACATAGGGTTTTGCTTCCTCATTGTCCAAGACCTAGTAAGCATAGGATTGAGTGCACTTCATTTTCTAATCTTATTGTTAGATTAGGGATTTTTTGTTGAAAGCTATTATATTTGCATGTCGTTGATTTTCTTTGTTATCTTGATAATTCAAAGCTCTTATTTGTGCAACTTAGCCAAAACAGAAGTGACTGCTTTTATGCTTTATTTTGTCTTTTTATTTGCTAGTAGTTCTATTATTTATTATTCTAATCAACAAATCATGAAAGTTCTTATCAAATTACTTTAAGCATTATAGTCTTACATCACCCAAGATTTATTAACATATGGAATTAGTTAGTTGACAAGTTTATAGAAGAAGGTTTTCTTTATTGCATTTTGAAGAAGGTTTTTGGTTGCAACTTTGAATATGGAAGAAGGTGGCCAGTCATCCATGGATGACTGGATCACCAACTCAATTAGATCTACCACGCATCCAACTACATTGGATTCAAAAGGTATATTTTCATTCAATCATAGTTTCGCTCACAATTCTTATTTTTTGAACTCTCCTCTAGTGATTAGAGTGGGAGTTTTGGTCTCTAAGCAAACGTATTTGTCGGAGACAGGTAAAGGAAAAGAAGTCATTGATGTTTTGAAGAATAATTCAATTTCACCTAGGCTGATTTTTATCCCTAAAGAAAATGATATGGAGGCATCTTCATCAGGTTGCAAATATTATAATTTGTTGAAGAATGATAAGGGTATTGATAATACCATCCTTGGTATTGATAATACTAAAAATCTAGTATCTTTATCTAGATTGGATAATTCTAATGTATGGATTAGAAAGCCACAAATTAAAATAAATTTGAAGAAAGATCATTATGAAAAGGAAGATTCAAATGTGGTCAAACTTGATTTGGAAAATGAAATAGCCAATGTTCAAGTGTAGGGGAATTCATTGGTTGTAAAGATTCTTTGTAAAAACTTTCCTTTTTCAAATTGTGCTATTGAATTAAGGAGGCAATGGGGTAAATTAGGAGGATTTCATATAACCTTGCTTTGATTTGATTGGTTTCTATGCTCTTTTCAGTCACATGAAGCAATGGAATAAGTTCTTAATGGAGGTCCTTGGTATGTGGGAGGCTTCGTCATTGGTTTAGACAAATGGTCACCCAACTTCTCTCCTAATTCCATGGATGGGATTTCTTCTCCTATTTGGGTTCGTCTTCCTCATTTTCCTTGACATTACTAGGATGAAACCAACATTTGTAGAATTGTTTCTAGAATTGTGACTCCTCTATTGTTAGATGGCAATATGTTTAGATGGGAGAGAAGGGAATTCGTTAGAGCTTGCATTCAAGTTAAATTGAATTCTAAACTCCCTTGTGGTACCTAGGTTGAAGGTCTTCATGGTAGAATTTTCAAAATTTTGAATATGAAAATCTATCTTATATTTGTTTTAAATGTGGGAGAATTGGACATATAGATGTTGTATGTCCAAATGTCTCTCTTAATCAGGATCTGCTTGTTGAATAAGTCCCTTTAAGTTCATTACAAATTGATGATAATTCCTTTGGACCTTGGATGCATGTGAAGTTCAAAAACAAGAAGAGGAAAAATTTTGTGAAGAAGCAATATGTTTCTAAAGAAAATCCTAGTAAAAGGAATTCGGTTAGAAGTACTGCTGAAGTTAATACATTAGGCATTCTTGATAAACTGGAGGCTAATTCAGTTGAAGTTAATAACAAAGCAGAATTTGATATAAATTTATTTAAGGACGCTGATTACCAGTTTGATCAAACTCTGGATAATGATCCTAATTTTGAGTCTACATCCATTCAGAAAATTGATTTCAAAGATACTAGAGTTTTGGGAGGAGATGAAGAAGTTATTAGTGCTCAGTCAGAATTGGGTGCTGATCAGTTTGATGTTCAAAATTCAAAAAATTGAATTCAAACGTACTCAAATGCTGGATGTAGAAGAGAATGCTATTTATTATGGATCTTTTTTTGTTGCTGAACCTATAGTTCCTTCTAGTAATAACGTGAAACCTCTTATGGTTTCTGAACTGATGGAAGTTCAATCTGATTTCAAACTTCCACAAATACCGGATGGAGTAGAGAATGCTGTTAATCCAGAAACATAATTTGATTCTAAACTAGCCTTTCCTTTAGATTTTTTCGTGGCTGAGTCAGAGATTGTTGTTGAACTGAAATCTGTTTTGCCTACAGTTAATACATTAAATAATAATGGATTGGAAGTTGTTATTGACGGAATGGGAGGAGTATGTAGCAATTTTTTCACTCTTCCTTATAATATTAATTTAAATTTTAAAAAGATTGTGTTAATGAAGGATAAGGCAGCAACTACTAAGGAGGGTGGTTCTTCAGGGTCTAAGCATAAACTATTTAAAGAACTACAATCCTTAGGACCGGTGGAAGAACTACCTAGAAGAAAGAAGGATGATCTTAGATTGAAGAACTGTAAGAAAGGTTCATCACACATTACTCATTAAAATGCTTGCTTGTTCTTACTCTTCAATCAACATAGTGGAAAAATACTTGATGATGGAGCTACTAATCAAAGAGTATGTCAAAAATACTTGTTGTGAATTATGACTTTGTATGTTGGAAGAGGCATCTAAAATACCTATTTGTAGTATTATTAGGTGTTTTATGGTTGTCGGTGAATACTTGTATTTTCTTTCTAGTTATCTTTTGTAGATTCTTTTTTTTCCCCTTTAGCCTTATATTTGTTTAATAAACTTAGTCTAATTGCTTATGGGATCGGTACTAGGTTCTATTTTTTAACTGGTTGGGAACTTTGGGATACTAATCAACCATTTAGGTTGTTTAATTTTTGGTATCCCCTGATATCAAGGGTTTTAAATGGGAAACAGTGGGTCTCATTTCAATTATGATAAGTTTATTTTAACAAATATGCTTTCAATAAGTGTCCTTTTTCTTTTCAATCAAGGAACCATTAGTTTTTATTTGCTTCTAGTTTGTAATAGTTTGTTTTTTCTTTCATTTTAAAGCAATATTTGCATTTCTAAAAAAAAAAAGACAAGTTTATAGAAAAGTATTTTCCACCTTCTAAGACAACCAAACTTAAAAATGATATTACTTCTTTTACTCAATTAGAAGGACAATCTATTTATGAGAGTTGGGAGAGATTCAAGGAGATCATTAGAATCTACCCTCATCATTCCTTACCTGATTGGTTAATAATTAAATTTTTTTACAAAGGATTGGCAGGATCTCTTAAAGTAATAATTGATGCTATAGTTGGAGGTTCTTTGATTTCAAAGCCTTTTGAGGATGCTTATGAATTAATTGAGAAATGAAAACAAATAAATTTCGATGCCCTACTAATAGGGTGAATCCTAAGAGAGTGACAGGAGTCTATGAAAATGATTCATTATCCATTTTGTCTGCACAAGTTATATCAATATAAAAGAAGTTGAGCACTTTAAGCTTAAATTCTAATTCATCTTTACATATTCAATATAAAAGTGTAATGAAGGAGAATGATATCTAATGGATTGAAAATATAAATTTGATTAGAATAATCACACAAAATAGTCTCTAATCAAATACATATAATCCAGGTTGGAATAATCACTCTAATTTTAGTTGATCAAATAATAATTGTAAAAATTAATAGAATTCTAGTCAAAATAACCAATGAGCAAATTAGAATAATTAAAATCAAGCAAATAATAATCCAAGATCAGCTTATCCTCCTATATTTAATCAAGACAATCAATATGAAACTAGAAATACACCACTAGGAGATGTGGTCGTACAATTAGAAAAAACAATTACAAAACCAAGTCGCTTCAATTAAAAACTTGAAAACTCAATACTATGAGCTTGCAATTTCTGTAAGTAGTAGGCTTATAGAATGCTTACATAGAAACACTGAAGTTAATCCTAAGGAGAAGAAAGCAGATATCATGAAATCGAATTGAAGAGTAATAATCATCCATCTTAGCCAAATAGAAAATATGGGAAAGTCTATCTAAGGACTATAAACTTAGTGTTGCTTCTAGGAGGTAACCCATATATATGTTATGCTAGTACCCATTATATAATGTCATATTTTGTGTTCAACATATGTTTTATGCACATTTTATCATTCTTATGAAAGCATGTGAATGTATTATTTACTTATTTGTTTTATTTACATATTAGCAAATTCCCTTCATGCATAAATTATTATTATCCTCCAATTATTTTTATATTTTGATTATTTAATTAACCCTTATAAAAATTACGTAAATTTAGGGTAATAAAAAAACCCTAGATCATAATATAAATAAACTTTGTTTATATTTTATAGGTTGGAAAGCTAATACTTAACTTAATAAACCATTTAAGCTATCATCATAATTTTAATTTATAAGTTATACATTTATAAAATTAAATTTAAAAATTGTAAGATAAATAATTAGTATTACAAATTAGATTAGTGTAAATTAAAATTTGAAATCATATCTAACATGAAGAAAAAATTAGTAATCTCAACAAGTCCTTACATTAAAATATTTAATATTGTATGAAGGTCTAAAGCTGAAGTTGATATTAATTTCATTTGTTATCTACTACACAAAAGGAAAAAAGAAACTATAAAATAGTTGTTAAAAAAAAGAGAAAAAAAATAATAATCAAAAGAAAAAGATGAGTACATTTAAAAATTGATATCGGTGAAAGCATAACATTAAAAATATAATTTTAAACACAAATAAAAAAGATAAAATATGAGAGTTAATAGAAGGGATGAGGAACTACTACAACAATATCAAGCCTTTGTCCCTATGTGGGGTTGGCTACATGAATCATTTTTTGCCATTATGTTCGGTTAAAAGTCAAATTCTCATTTAAATCTAATAAAGAAAGATCATTTCTAATATTTTTTAACCATGTCTTTTTAGGTCTACCTCTACCTTTCTTAATAAGTCAAATATAATACCTCAACTTTCATAACCGGGTCATCGAAAGGCTTTTGTTTAATGTGACCAAACCCTCTAAGGCAAGTCTCTCTAATCTTATCTTCCAGTGGAGCCACTCATCCACCTAAGCATCCTCATCTCTACAACACTTAACTGAGTAATATGCTTCTCTTTTAATGGCTAACATTCGACACTATAAAGCATTATAGGTCTCACCACCATCTTATAGAATTTTCCCTTAAGTTTGAGGGGGACTTTTCTATCGCATAATAAGATCGATGCATTCCTCCACTTCAATCATTCAACTTTAATTCTACCTATAATATCCCCATCAATTTCACCATCAATCTGAAAAACAAATCCAAGATATCTAAAATGTGCACTCTTATTAATGGATTGATCGCCCAAAGTCACAATCCCATCACTAGGTCTTTTGCTACTAAAATTATACTCCATATATTAAGTTTTAGATCTACTCAAGAGAAAACCTTTATACTCTAAAGTTGAACTCCATAATTTGAGTTTACCTTCAACTCCCTCTCTAGTCTTATCAACAAGTAAAATATCATCAGCAGAAAGCTAACACCAAGATACATCCTGTTGCAAATGTTTAGTGAGAACATCCATGAGTAAAGCAAAAATATATGGACTTAAGGCTGATCCTTGTTGTAATCCAACAGAAATAGGAAAATACTTGGTTAAACCACCTTGTATTTGAACACAAGTAATAGCTCCTGCATACATATCCGAACATACTTGAGGAGCATAAGCACTTATAATATTAATAATCTTTGCATCAACCACAATCTTTAAAGCTATAATTCTGTCTCCAATTCTATTAATTTTTATAACATTATCCTTCAAACTCTTATCTATAATTATACCTACACCATTTCTTGTACAGTTCCTACCTGAATACCATAGTTTATATCCTAAACTATTAAACTCTTTAGCTTTCTCTCCAACCCATTTAGTTTCTTAAAAGCACAGAATATTTATCTTCCTATAAATCATCTTATCTATTAATTCCATTACTTTTTCTATATAGGAGCCTATATTCTAAGCTCCTATCCTATTTTTAGTATCATGGACTAGCTTATTTGCCCACATCCATCCTTGATGGAACTACTGAAAGTACAATTTTAACATTAAAACTCAATTATTCACTTTAATAATTAAAAGTTAATGATTAAATCTATAACTTATAATTTCAAATTTGGTTGTAACTAGAATGATTGATTAGTTTAACTATTATAGTAACAAAAGACTAGTAGATGTGATTAGAGAAGAAATTTGATGGTTTGTAGTATCCTCATAAGAGGAAAGTACCATTGACAATTTTTTTATTTGATGTAGAGGTTGAGCATTGGTGGATAGACTAGTAGGAAAAAATATTTTAAGGGAGATTGAATTCTCTAGTTAGCTTAGAGGACTTTTTAAATATTTCTCTAGTTTAATTTGTACTCCTGTATGTCACTAAAAATAGAAAATTTTCTGAAATTACTTGATTGACAAGAGGGGGGTGAATTGTGAAAACTTTGTAGCAATAGTTAAAAACCTAATCAAGAGTTCTATTTTTTTTTGTGTTTTTCAATTTTTAACATAAAAACATTAACTACTACGAAGGCTAATAAAGGAACACAAACGTGCAACAATTAAATCCCTTTTTTTTTCTATCATAATTTCACCAAGAAAATATTATGAAAATAAAGTGCAAGAAAAAAAAATGATAAGGAAAAAGCACACCGGAATTTTATAGTAGTTCGGTCAAACCATGACCTACGTCCACTCCTCGGAGTCCTCCCCTCAAATAATTTCACTACAAACTATATCTCTCCTTTTCCCCCCCTCGACAAGGCGGAGAAGCCCTTACAAGATTAACTTTCACCAACCCGGCGTGGCAGAGTGCCAAGCGCTGTTTTCACCATCCCGGCGACAGCAGAGTACCTTGTAATTTTTCTCCCTCCTGGAGAAGTAAGAGTACCTACGAGGTCACGGATGTAGATGAGTCTCCCCCATAGAGAGCCTCCCATAAGTTTTTCCCGGGCCACTGGACGAGCAAGATACAGCAAGAACAGAGCAACCGTGTGATCTCCCTCACACCTCTTCTCCCTCACCAAGCTCACCTTCGCATTCCTCTCTCAAACCCTAAAAACTTTTCAAGAGCTCTCACCCAAGGATTCCCTCTCTAATCACGTTCCCCTCTTTCTATTTCTCTCAAAAAGATTACTAATTTGATACATAAAACAAGCTCCAAAATCCCTGAATTATTCAATGTAGCCATTATAATCGTACAGTATGATTTCATATCATACAGTACGATATATAAACAGGCTTCATCCTGATATTAAGGTTTACGAATAGTTCAAACATAATCGTACAGTACAGTACCACATCGTATGGTATGAGTCCAAACACTTGTGTTCGTACAGGATGAAAGCCGGGACGATACTAAATCATCTCTGTACATCATATAGTATGATCAATGTCGTACCATACGATTAGAACAAATTAAGGGATCAGTCAGAATGATATTCCAGATGATCCAAAATAATCCTCTGTTCATCGTATGGTATGATATACGTTGTACGGTATGATGCGTTAAAAATAAGAGATTATCCAGGATGATGTCCGGAATATCCAAAATCATCCTCTATTCATCATCTAGTATGAACGTGCTCATACCATATGATTACCAATCAGCGATTAAGCCTTGATTTATTCCAGTAATCACGGGTTAATTTTAAGTAAATATTTAAAATAAATCATACAGTACGAATGTCTTTGTACAGTACGAATGACTGAAAAAACTTAGGTTATTTTGACGGGTAGGGTTTTGGATTAGTAACACATCGTCCAGTACAATAGGGTTCGTATAGTACGATCTATTCACATAAATCATTTTATAATATAGGATCGTACATTATAAGATAAAATTGAACATCATGATCAACAGAGAAAGAAATTTTACATTTTTACTTTTAAAACCCTCTCCCCCTGTGTGTGTGCATGGTTGCTCAAACTTACCTGCAATTTATGGCCAGACTCAAGAAAAGAAAAATAAATAGAAAATTACATTATTTCAGACTCACACTCCTACTGCCCAATCTTGAGTCTTCCTATTGTCCTGAGTAAATTATGATCTTCCATAAATATTAGTACTCACAGGCAATAGCAGAAATCAAATGATACTCAATGAATAGATATTTAGATGATATTATTTTTCATCATCAAAAGCTAAAGCTAGGGGTTATGGATC